TGCTTCTATTACAAATGAGGGTGATCGATGATGCTCGTTGTAAACATTGCAGTAACCCATAATCAATTATGCATGTTTTGAGACATTGCCCACTTTCCATCAAAGTATGGACCCTTTCCCTTCTTTTGGGATCAATATAGAGTAATGGAGATCTTTTCTCCCTACTCTCCAGTTTGAGGAACACAAAATCGACACCTTAAGAGGGAGTCACAATGAAATCACTATACACTTGGATTCTCTGGAATCTTTGGATATCTAAAAATCATTTATGTTTCACAGATAAAGACTTCTCGGAGGAAGAGGTGGTGATGAAGTCAATTTCAGAGGCGTTAGCATGGCAAAAGGCACAAGCATCTCTGCCTAGTCGCATCGCCTCCACAAATGCAGACCCTCGAATCGACGAACTTAATGCTGGCTTCGTTTGTAATGTGGACGCGACATGGAATGCTGCCTCCATGAATTATGGTATGAGTTGGGTTCTTACATCCCTCTGTTTTTACCGCTAGAGCTTCTTGTGCCGATGTCTCCTTAGCTCTTGTAGCGGAGACACGAGCTCTCAAAGCTACCTTAGTCTATGTAATAGACATGGGATTTCTATCATCACGGTGAGATCCGATTCACAAACTCTAATACGCCTACTCAACTTGACCGAATCCCACACGGATGTGGCGATGCTTTTTGAAGATATTAGAGAACTTGCGGTCTCCTTTGATTATATACTATTTCAATTTGTTCCGTGTACTTTGAATATGATAGCAGATGAACTAGCAAAGCAAGCTTTGTTGTCTGTTGAACCATTTTTCCTGAGTACTAGATTGAATGAAATTTTTTCGTGACAAAAAAAAATTATTTTCATTACATTTAAACCAAATGTATAATTATTAATCAGTATATGTATTAAAATTGAAATTATATAAAAAAAATGATGTGGATGATGAAGTTTCTTAATGAGAAATGAAAAAAAAGTTACAAATTGGGTCAGATTGGTAATTTAAAGTGGTACAAATTTTTTATCTGTAAACTAAAGCGGTAAACGTTAAAGTATAGTGTAAAACTGTAAGAAATAGTTGTAAGAATAAAATATACAAATAAAACGGAGTGTAACGTTTTTTATATCGTTTTTATGATTGGTACAATCTAAACGTTAAAAATTGTAAAATTGTTGTAAGCCATACAAATTGTGTTACGACTCAAACTTAACAACATTTTAGAATTTTTTTTATTTATCAACTCAGGCTACACAATGCACTAGTGGAACTTTACTTTTAACGGGTTAGTAAAATTCTTAGATATAATTTATTAGGTATTTATATAAATTATGAGATGGAAGACCAGCCCTATCCATTAAAAAACTCGTTTATACCAAGCAAATCATTTATTTGTTTAGGCTTTTGGCATGTAATTATGAGATGGAATCCTTTTGTATTGCTAGCTTAGTAAAGCATATTAGTTGTTTAGGTTTTTGGCATGTAATTTTCCTTTGTTTCTTTTGTTTGGGTTTCTAACTTGCTCTTTTAAGCTTTTGAATCTTTTATTTAGGTTTAGGTTTGTAACTTCATATTTTACAAGTTTTAATAATGGATGAATTTTGGTGAATAACCAACAAAAAAATTATAATTCAATAACTAAGAAAAAATGTATATATGGCAAAATCTAAACTATAGAATTTTGAAAAAATAGTTAATTATTAAATTCTAGTTTTTTTTTTGTTATTAGTGCTAATTTTATTTTAATATAATCCACCAAGATGACGTAAAAAAACCAAACAAATTATTTTTTAAAAATATATAAAATAAAACTTAAATTGCATAAAATTCATTTTCCTTCACAGACGTGGCCTTCTCGGTCACTAGTACCAA